GCATCATTATTACCATTGTAGTCATTATTTAGACTCTGCTATTATTTAATTTAAAAATTAATTAATCAGCTTACAAAAATTATGTAACGAACTTTAATATTCATATTTCATGTCGAAACTTAGTAAAAATAATTCAAAGCAGATATTTAATAACTTACTCAATTACACAAGTTATAAGTAAATAATTGGAATTATCTACTCAAAGTAATACAATTATATGACGACAGTTAATCTTATAGATATACAATGATTTTATAGAATTCAAAATGAATAAATAAATCATTAGAATCGAATAATTAAAAAGGATGTACGTATACATATTTTTATTTTCTAATTGTGTTTTGTTTCATTTCTAAATTATTATTTAATTTGTTTTTCGTGACGGTTTTTTTTCACATTGCTATAAAATTTCTCTCATGCGTCGATAAAGAAGTTTTACTTCAAAAAAACGTTTATAAGTAATAACATAAGAAATACTTTAAGAAAAATCTTGAAAATTTGCTTGACATATTCTGAAGATGTCATACTAACATTTTATGAAAAATAAAATATTGAATTTTTCGATATTTTACTTGTATCTTCTCTATTCGAAAATTTTTATTGGGTTCTTTGTGAATAATAATTAAACATTCAAATTAAAAAAAAATTCATCATTGCAGCGAATCCAGACATAGAAATGGAAGCGGAAGCATTAAACGGAGAGGCGACAGACTCAAGAAAGATGGAGGTGCAAATTGGTGGTGCAGTTACACTAGAATGCGACGGTGGTTGTTGGGGTCATGGATCAGCCATGGATCCAGCTGGATCAGGACTATTAGCTCTTAATCGTGTAGTTTATCAAGATGCTGGAGAATACCGTTGTGTTGCACCCGACAGAAAACTACAAGACACTTGGAGAGCCCAATTGCCTTATCACATAAAAGTTACAGGTAAATTGATTCAATCATTACTGCAAATGATCAGTACGAATTGTTTGAGATTATATATTGAAATTGGTATAAATCTATCACCCAAGGCAACAGTCCGGTCACCTTTTCTTATCACAATTAGTAAAAGTAAGGAAGTTAGACACCCTCAATGAGCAGATATTTTAAATAGCAAACGGAAGGTTAGTTACCAACTATCATGGAGCAGTTCTATACAACAGACTACATCAATCTTTGAATCAATCATTCAAAAACACATTTGTAACACTATCTTTGCCTTTTTCGGTTTTATATGATTTTCAGCGATAATTAATTTATTGTGATAAGTTATCGCTAGTTAAAATTTATTTAGTTATTTATTTATTATGCTTTGTACATGTAATGCGGTTATATGTCAAATATTAATATATATAATTAATAAAGAGAATAAGGAAACTTTTATCACAAGCAAATCTTTATGATAAAATTGATTTTTACACGCTTTTTATTAGCTTCGCCTGTATGTTTGCTTGTTTGTATGTATGTAACCGACTCTTTTGGGCGCGATTTTAACCCATTTTAAACGGTCAGATTTCATTTAAACTTTGTAGATTAATCAAGGACCGATGACAATACACTGATTTCATAAAATTATTCCAGTAATTAATTTGCAAAATACGATTTGTTAATTTATATGACTTTATCTATAGTCGATAAGGCAGAAATTGATGCTTATTTTTTTAATTTCCAATCATTATCTTTAACCGATTTATCTAATATTAACAAATTTTCGAATACCATAGAGAATTTTAATTCAACAAAACGAACAATATTTTTAAAAAAAACTAAAAACAATACACTTTTATACATAAACCAAACTAAAAAATAAAAACTAAATTTTAATAAATATAAATTAATAATAGTGTAAGGGGACATCCATTAATTACGTGAGCTCAGAATGGGGGGGGGGGGAGGGGT